ATCTGCTAATATTGTATTGAATATGGCAATTTATCATATTCATTAATTCAACACATAAACACCCTGACACTTTAACTATAAAATATACATGCTCCAAGTCAGGAACCGTTAGATTAGTGCATTTCACAATTATTTTATGCTTTTTAGCCAAAAAAAGGTCCAAATATTTTTTCACATCGCTCCGCTCGGCGAAAGATTTCATTCTACGCCCCCTCTTTCAAATATCCTAGAAACGCCCCTGCATCGTGTACGTACAAGAAAATATCTTCACACAGCATAATATTGTGTACGTAGTAATAAGTTGTACGTACCAGAATGAGATGATATGCTGTACTTACAAGTATGATAATTTTAAATTAAATTTAAAGGTGACGCGTATGTACCTCCTAAGTTGTACCATTTTAACCAGATAGCTTGGCAAATGTACCACTGTTGGTAATATGCACGCCCTTACATGAGTTAATCAGTGTGGACAAGTGAATTAGTCAACAATTATAAAACGCGAGACTTTATAGCTAGTGGCCTTGGGTGTCGCACTGCCGTTTGTTTAGCAACTTAGTGATACCATGGGTAACTCATTAATTAAACAGCAACGATGTTATGGTGTTATTTGTTCTTTTGTACGGCAAAGGTACAATGTCTGAAGACTAGATATTGTGCGTCCCTACGTTTATTTTTTGACGGTGGACCTCTCGTATCCCCCTTGCGGGCGGGACGCCAAATTAGGTAATAATGAACAAGCCCCCTGTACATGTGGATTCATACATTTGTCATCACCAGGTTGTCCCAATAATAATACCATCCGACTTCTAAAACACGCTGTTGATAGAGAATTTGAACCGAAACTGTAATTTTATTTCCAGTACACAAAAAAAGTCTTTGGGCCATACTTAAAATATGTTATTTTCTTCTTGTTAATTAAACATAAAAACAATCCTCAGAACACTGGAAATCGCTTCTGAGACGTTCTAGAAAACACAATTTTTTGGGGGGAGATCACCCAAACCCCCCTTACGGGAGGGGGAATACCCCCTCCAGTACCCTCCCCCTAGCCTCCTCGCTACGCGCTCGGGGTGCTGCCTTCGGCACCACACCGTTGACTATTAAGAAAAAATTCTCGGCCCCCCCTTTTAGGAAATCCTGGATCCGCCCCTGAGGTATGTCCCGGCCTCACTTGAGCGAACGCTAACCATACCATCAAAGCTGAAATTGAGGTATTGCCAAACGAGTCGCGAGGAAATAAATATGTTGTTAGGAAGTATAGAGGAAATATGTTTTAAAGATTTCAAATGTTACAATGGCGGCAGCAGATCAATTGCAGTTTCTTCATTGTCTCCTTAGCAGAAGACAGAAGAAAACCCCTGATTATACAGGGTATTACTGTTGACTATACCCCTTTAATCTTTTTAATGGGGCGGCACATGCAATAGACATAAAAGTAGAGTCAATTATTTTGGACTTTTCCTTTTTGATGGAATAAAATTTTGTTCTTATATACTTTAACTATACCGCGTGGTCCTTTTTATATGTCGATATTCACGAGTGCGCGGAGCGCACGAGTGCATATATACGTCCGCGCAATAAATGAGTGCTTTCTGATTCGTTACAAAAACACAAATGTGTGGTCTTGCTTTTATCACATACCTTCCGTATTTGGTAGAGATCGATACAAAGATTTTATAAACTTTGATATTTTTTGCAAATTCCGGGAACATTTCAGTTCGCCATGACAAGGGGATTCCCATAAAAAGTAGTTCCGTCTAGTAGGCAAATACAACATTCCGTATTGTGCAATACCGAACGTTATATTTCATGGTCTGACCGTTGCTTGTATTACTATAACAAGATTCAAGAGGTATTTGATAAGAACCAATAGTAATCTTCACCTTAAGACCATCATTATATTTTTCTATTGCTGTGATATCGTTATGGCGGGTACGCATGGAGCGGACGTCACATGCACTGAATGATAATTTTACATCCAGACCATCTTTTTATTCCAATGAGTGCATTTATTGCACATGTCACGTCATACAACCCAATGCAATGTTAATTAAATAAAGACAGTTTTATCATATACCAACGATTTTCACAACTCAGTGTCAGATATTGATTTCACAAACAACACAAATATTAACATCTACAAATAGCAAAGGGACTGAG